TGTCAAAGTCCCTGTGATAAATGAAAGGGGGAGTTGTGGGGGCTCCCTTTTATGGACACCCAACCAGCCAGTGGCTATAATATCCCTCTTAGTAGCTGTTCTCTAATTGCTCTACCTGTAAAGGGTTAAAAAGTCTCACTGCTATGCATAGGTAAAAGGAAGTGAGTGGGCACCTGGCCAAAAGAGCCAATGGGAAGGCTAGAACTTTTTAAAATTGAAAAGACTCCCCTTTTGTCTGTCTGTTCTCCCGGGGAGAGGCGGACAGAGCAGCAGCTATGCTGTAAGAAGCTTGGGCCAGGTATGAAAAAATCATCAGTATCATACCTAGAAATTACTCATTTAAAACCCCAGATATTTAAGTCAATCAGGAAATGTCTAGGAAGACACGATTAGATTTATTCCTTTTATTCGTTATGGCTTGTGGATTCCTCTGTGCTGACCCCCAGGTGCTTTTGTTTTGCTTGTAACCTTTAAGCTGAACCTCAAGAAAGCTATTCATGGTGCTTAATTCTTGTAGCTGCTCTTTTAAAATCTAGCACTAGCCTCAGTTCCCAGATGTATTTTCTTTCTTTTTTTTTAATTCATAAAATTTACCTTTTTAAAGAACAGAATTGGATTTTCGTGTCTTAAGAGGTTTGTGCACATGTTGTTTAATTAGCTGGTGACAACAGCTGATTTCCTTCTTTTTTTTTCTTTCTTTTTCTTTCTCTTTCTCAGCTCTTCCTCAAAGGGGGGGGTGAAAGGGCTTGAGGGACCCCATAGAAAGGAATTCCCAAGTGTACCCTCCTAGGCTCTCAAAGGGGTCCTGCACTTGGGTGGTGGCAGAATCTACCAATCCAAGATCAGAGAAAAGCTGTAACCTTGGGAATTTAATACAAGCCTGGAGTGGCCAGTATTAATTTTTAGAAACCTTGCGCCCCCCCCCCCCGCGCACTCAAAGTGCCAGAGTGGGGATTCAGCCTTGACAGTCCCGTAAGAGGGGCTGAACTCTGAGTGTTCCTCTTTGGAAGAAGTAGTACTAGAAATTTCATTTCTGAGGTTGGGGAAGAAATTTCTCATGAAGAAACTCAAGAGATTCAGCTTGTTTAGATAAGCTTCAGATAAACAGCCAGATTTTTGCACGTCTGAACCAAACCCCAGCCCTAGCGCATAGAAACGATGGTGAGTGAGGCTAAATGAATACTTCAGTTATAGCACTAGTCTATATGACATGGAAACAGTCTTTGATCCAGATCCTCAGCTGGTATAATTTGGGATAACTCCATTAAATTCAATGGTGCTGTGCTGACTTACACAACCTGACAGTCTGGCCCTTTGTGTTTTAGTAACAGCTCTAAAGTATTTCATAATTCTGCCCTATGTTGATTCTGATGGCTGAAGTATCTGTTCTCATTTATTCTAGGAAATTTACCAGTGGTGTGGCTCAACATGCAATAAATTTGAGCGTCTGAAGGCTACTCAAGTTGCTGTTGGCATTCGGGACAATGAGAGAAATGGAAGATCTCAGCTAATTGTTGTAGAAGAAGGAAGTGAGCCAAGACAACTTACAAAGGTATTGTAAATGTATTGCTGGTTCAGATACACGGTTATCCAGACTTCTGGGCATGTCCTGCCGCCATACTACTTCACCTCAGGATATGTCATCAGATCTCATAATCTAAGCAGGACTGGATCCAGTCTTTACATAGAGGAGATCCTCACCAGATACCCAGCAACTTCATTGCTCTGTCGTAAGAGTGCTGTATACACAACAGCTGCTAGGTGCTCTTCCCCTTCAGTCAGGTAGTGCCCCAGCATAGTGCTATGAGGTGATTTACTCCCTTTAAGTGCTGTCTTTCATGGCCCCCTTTTTGGAAAAGTAAAAAGTTAGCCCTTGTGTCTTGAACAAATCCCAGTTGAGTAATTACATTATATAGGCATAAATTCATCCAGCAGTTTCCCTAGCAAAGTTATTCCTTTCCTCTCCTAAATAAACAATATAGGGCTTGGTCCTATGCTCTTTGAAGTCTTAGATAAATGTCTATCAGGGATGGTCTAGACAGTATTTGGTCCTGCCATGCGGGCAGGGGACTGTACTCGATGACCTCTCGAGGTCCCTACCAGTCCTAGAATCTATGAATCAAAGGCAAAGCTCCCTCAATGGTGCAGTATCAGAGCTATATAGAGTTGTGGGGAGGTTTATGGAGGGGAGAGATGAGTAGTGGGTGTGCCTTGTAAAGCTTGGGAAAGAACTGGTAAAGGGAGCGTAACAAACAAATTGAAGGACTTTGGAGGGAGGACAAAAGTCCTTGTGCATTGCTCTGGAACATCACAGCTACTTGAAACACCTTTGTACTATGGAGCTAGCCCATGGGACTTGAGTAAATCCCATTTTATTATATATGGCAAAGTTATTTTTCATACACAGAGATGTTTAAAATAATAACACAGACTTTGAATACAGTTATATGTAAAAAGATTATCAGCTGAGTCAGGTCATGTCTACACTCTGGGAACTGTACTGGCATAGCTACAGCGGTGTAGCTATTCTAGCATGACCCATAGTGTAGACACAGCCTATACCAATAGAAGACACAGCCTATACCAATGTTCTGTTGGTGTAATAACATCACCTCCCTGAATGACACTAGCTTGGTTGATGGAAGCATTCTTCTGCGTCTACACTGGGAGTTATGTCGGCGTAGCTAAATTACTTTGGGGTTTGGATTTTACATACCACTGAGCAATGTCCCTATGTTGACCTGAACTTTAAGTATAGGCCAGGCCTCAGGGCTTGTCTACACTTGAAACACTACAGCAGCACAACCTCTGCCAATGGGAGGGTTCTCTAACTGGTGTAGGTAATCCACCTCCCCAAGAGGTGGTAGCTTGATCGATGGAAGAATTTGATCTAGCACTCTCTACACTGGGGGTTAGTTGCTCGGAGGTTTGATGTAGCCTCACTCTCATTTAACCACCAAAAGTGCCTGCCATTATAGGCTGCCTCCATGCTCCAGCAGAGTCCTGGGGGGTTGGGGCTGCAGCCACAGGGTGTGTCTGTGGGGTCAGGGCTCGGGTGGAGGGGGCGCTTGGGGTTTCTGCCCTGCAGGAGCACCAGGACTCAGGGCTTTAGACCGGGGGAGCACTGGGGCTTGGAGCTTCAACCCCATGGCTCCATTCCCAGCTTCAGCTTGGGGGGGGGGGGGAACACACCATCAATTGGGGCTTGAGCCCCGGGACTCCGCTCCCAGTTTCAGCCCCGCGGGGGTGCCGGGGCTCGGGGCTTTAGCTACGAGGGGAGCGACGGTTTCAGCCCCAGCATTCCCCCCGTAGTTAGAGTCCCGGCACACCCCTCCCCCAACCCCCAGCAGAAACCCCGAGCACAGTTGCAGGGCTGAAGCCCCAATCCTTGGCGCCCCTCATGGGGCTGAAGCTGGAACAGAGCCACAGGGCTAAAGCCCCAATCCCCAGCACTCCCTCCAAGTCTAAAGCCATGAGCCCAGGTGCTCCCAGGGGGAGAAGCTCTGAGCCCCCTGCCAGGAACCCAGGTGGCTCCTAGGGTCAGAAACCCCTCCCTCCCGAGTCCTGACATACGCCCCCCCCTCACCCTACAGCTGCAGCCCCAACTCCGCCATGGCAGAAGTCTGTAATGTCTTGTTCAGAGTTATGGACCATTTCAGAGGTATGGACAGCCTCCATTCCCGAGGTGTCTGTAACTCTGAGGTTCTACTGCACTTGCCCCTCTCTAACTAGGTGCAGATCAGATGATGAGAGGTGCAAGTGTCCTGATGTGCACTTTCAGTTCATTTTCAAATTGCAAAATTGCATGTGAATATTTTGGACATGCAATGCACCTTCAGAAAGGGAGGCCACACCTCAGCTACTTTGAAAACATGACCCTAAAATAATTTACTTTGACATCAAAAGTCAGATATCGCTTAGGATTTGGACACCAGTGGCTACTTAGGGAAGGTCTACACTTAAAATTAATGAAGATGCTCTACGACCGAGGGGAGAGAGCTCTCCGTCAATATAGTTAATCCACCTTGGTGATAGCTATGTCAGTGGGAGAAGCTCTCCCGCCAACATAGTGCTAGTCTACACCAGTATTTAGGTTGGTATAACTACGTAACGTCACTATCCACACTCCTGAATGATGATGTTAAACTGGAGTGATTCTGTAGTATAGACCTGGCCTTAAATCCTTAAGGTTTTCACTTTCTAAAGTATGTAGTTCAGCTGAAACTACCTACACAGTCTACCTCTAGCACTTCCACTCAGAGACAAACACACAGCATTAACCACAGCTAAGACACAGTTAAGCTAACACAGCACTAATGAATCATGTAAAGGAGTCTGTATGACTAATTTGCCTCAGGGGCGAAAGGCACAGAACCTGTCCTGCTCTATTGCGTAAACAATTATTACTTACAATCAGATGACAAAACAGTGGTGCAGCAGAAACTGTCTTCAAGCGCACTCCATTAGTATTGCTTCATGCAGTAACAAGGGGGAGAACACACTCCAAACCAGAAATTAAATGTGCCTATTCCATTTTGCTGAAGAATTATTTTATGTTCAACTTTTTGCTCCTTTCCCATTTGGAAAAAAAAATGACTGAAAAAAATTGGTTTAGAAACATTAATAAATACCAAATGTGTTAGGAGGTTAGTATGTGAACTGTAACCAGATCACAATGTTGGTCAACATTTTTCAGCTATTGAAGATTCAGAAAACGGGGGGGAGGAAAGGAGGGTGGCATTTCAGAAGGAAAAATTACAAATCTCCCCCTCCCCCACTTTTAAAAATCTACTCTAGATCTGGTTGAAATTGAGTAAATTTGTTTGTTTTTTTTAAAAGGGTTCCCATCCTCTAAGCAATCCCTCCCCGCACCCCACCCCCCCATACACACACACACATTGTCAACTAGCTCAGGTCTCAATACATAGTATATATTATAAAGGAAAAGTTACACCCATTCATCATTAAGGCGTTGAGGGCCCTGATGAAGTGTCACCTACCTGCTCCACTGTGATGCTCAGGAATGCATAATTCTGTGATATCCCAGCTACTAGGCTGTACAGTATTTGCTTCTTTTTTTTTGTCTGCACTGCTGCCTGATTGAGGACTTCTGGTTTCACAGGGTGCCTGGCTGACCGGTAAGTCCGTAACTCTGGTGTTCGTATCTTTGAGGAAGTCCATGGGCTTAAGTGGGTGTACAGGCTGGGACCTGGATCTCCTCACAAAGCCCTCATTCAGCTGTGTGGTTCTATTAACTTGTGTAAAGTTCCTGGAACCTATAGTGACCTAGACAGGTGATTAAAAGGACAGGGAAAATGCCAAGGTTGTACTTTGATTTCCCTGTCCTGGAAAGTATTAGTGAATAATGATTTTCGTTACTTGCCCAGCAACGATGGAGGGAAAGTTTCTGCTTTTCCTTTCTTACTAAGGTAAATATTAATGTGGAAAACTATTGGTGAGTTAAGTGAACAGTGTTTAGCGCTCTGATTGCTCACTACTGTGGCAAGTCTTCTCCTGTGATCAGCAGTACCAGGGAAGTTCTGTGGGCAGTGCTTCAGGCAGCAGGGATGGGGTGTTGGGGCTGCGTCTGCAGTGCCTCCATAGCACTCCCAGTCATTGCAAGCTTTAGGGAAATGTGCTACCATATAGCCACTAGGTCAGGGGTTCTCACCACAATTTTTTTGGTGGCCTCAGAATGTGGCCACCAAATCTTGCTAGTGGCCACTATGACAATTTCCCCTAAAATAATTAATTTAGGAAAAACAAATAAATATGCACATATACATGTCCAAATCATAGTTATTTATGTAGGGTTTTTATTTGCACACTCAATACTGGTAATAATAATGTACAGTTGTCTCTATTCTTTACTGGACCTAAACAGAATAGAAACACAAATAAGGTGTTTTGCATGTTCTGGTCTTTTTTGTTGTTGTTGGGTTTTTTGCTTTTTTGGTTGTGGTTTTTTTTTTAGACTCGCTAGCTAGTAAGTCAGCTCCTGTGAAAAGTGATATTTATATATTTGTTAGTATCACTTTTCAGAGCAGCAGACTTGTTATCTAGCTCTGAGGCAGTGATGAGTGATATTTACAAACATACACATACCACTTTTCAGAGCAGACTTACTCAGCCCTGGCAAGTTGGGTGACAAATTAAGCCCTGGATGGGGAGGTGGGTAGGGAGACAGCGGGGGCCAAGGGTGATGAGGGGGGTGGTGAATCCAGAGACCAGGGAAACGGAGCCCGCCACTGCACAGCCAAAACCCGGAGCCGAAAGCCCCATGGTTGGAGCCTGTGGCTGGAGCCTGCCACCCCAGGCCTGAAGTCTGAGACCCACCGCCCCCAGGAAGGTGGGGAAATCACACCTGCTGTCTGCTCCTCTGGCGCTTGTGGCTCCAAAGGGGGTCAGGGCTCAACACATGCTTGTAGCCCAAGGGGAGGAACCACTGCTTTGCCCCCACCCCCAATCACTGCCCAGGAGGCTGTGACCGCAAGAAAAGCCCCTTGTGGCTGCATGCAGCCACACTGCCTGCATTTGAGAAATGCTGCACTAGGCCATCTCTCCGTCCTCTTTCCTTCTTTAAGCGCCTGTCCCCTGATGTTGTTGTTTTTTTGTTTGATCCTTTGTGTCTTACCCTTGCTGCCATGATGCTTCTGCTCATAACACTCCCCTAATGCCGTTGAGTAGATCAGAAACATCATTGTATTTGTTCACTCTGGTGCCAGAGAAGTGTCATAGGCTGCGGCGGAGGAAGGTGCCACCCATTTCCCTAAAAGAAAAATTATAAAATGAGTGGGTGGGAAAAAGTGAGATTCTCATGATCCTGTACCAGAATGGAACTCCTGAAGGTTTTTTTCTCCCTTGGATGTGGGCACATGACTCTTCCTGTTGCTTGTGAACACTCGCAAATAGATCCTATTCTGGTAGGCAGTTTTTCTCGCTGATAAGATGCCAGGCTGCTGCTATATAAGTACATGTTTGCAATGCAAATATAGATGAATTTACAACAGAATTGCTGCCTGGGTTGTAGGAATTAGTTGTTTGCCTCTTGGGGAAAGCCATGCCCTGCGTTTGGCTTAATGCACAAGTATAGTTTTTTGTAGTTTGCAGAAATCTCTGCAGTCTAAGCTTCAGTTGTCTGCCAGGGAAACTTCTCCCCAACCCGAAAAGCTTTCCAGGGGCTTTCAGTGAGATTTGCACTCCTAAATCCCTTAGGAGCCTTTGAAAATCGTAGTGATCAAGTTTACTAGCACTAAGGTTTGTGGGGAGGCAAATTTTACTATTCATGCTGGCAGAGCTTGCACTTCTACTTGAAGAACAAGAACAGTATCATGTGACTCAGCTGACCAATCACAACTAAGCATGAATATTCTAAATTTGTGCTGTGCTGATCAATCTACAGAGTAAAAAAAAAATTGAACATTGAATTAGAAAAAGTTGGCTAAGGCCTGATGTACACTTAACATTTATATCAACATAACTGTCACTCAGGAGTGTGAAAAATCCACACTCTGAGTACTGTAGCAATGCTACATAACTTCCAGTGTAGACAATGTACAATGCTTCCATCAACCTAGCTACTGTCGCTTGGGCAGGTGGTGTTCCTACACTGACAGAAAAACCCCTTCTGTCATTGTAGGTAGCGTCTACACTATGGGGTTGTGTTGGCATAGCTACGGTGCCATACCTATGCTGCTATAGACCCTCTAGGGTAGACATGGCCTGAATTAACTACATTGATCACTTTTCAGAGTGGTAGCCGTGTTAGTCTGTATCAGCAAAAACAATGAGGAGTACTTGTGGCACCTTAGAGACTAACAAATTTATTTGGGCATAAGCTTTTGTGGGCTAAAACCCACGTTGTCAAAGGCATGGAGTGGAAAATACAGTCGACAGGTATATACACACAGTACATGAAAAGATGGGAGTTGCCTTACTAAGTGGGCGGTCAGTGCTAACAAGACAATTCAAATAAAGTGGAAGTGGGTTATTTTCAACAGTAGAATACCAAGGGAGGAAAAATCCCTTTTGTAATGGTAATGAGGGCAATGTAACCAGGGTGACCCTTTTCAAACAGTTGACAAGAAGGTGTGAGTAACAGTAGGGGGAAATTAGTGTGGAGAAATTAGTTTCTGTAGTGACCCATCCACTCCCAGTCTTTATTCAGGCCTAATTTGATGGTGTCCAGTTTGCAAATTAATTCCAGTTCTGCAGTTTCTCATTGGAGTAAACAGACTAAGGTGTCACAAGTACCCCTTGTTGTTTTTACATTGATCACTGTGTTATTCACTTAGTTCTGTGATTGGATCTGATTATCAGCTGCTGCTGGGGTGATCAGAGAACAGGAAGAGACACCCTATTCTTTCTTCTGTAGCAGCCCTATCTGCAGTAGATGATTTAATCTGTTGGCTGTATTACACCTATCACACAGTGGATTCTCTTCCCAGCACTAGCGCTGGGACTGGAGGAGCAGCAGAGAGAAACTCTAATATTGTCAGTTTCGCTCTGCTTCTGCTTTCTCTACTTTCACTAAGGGAAACATTACGAACTAGGCTCTCTGAGGTTGCAAATTGGAGAAGCTCCATTGAAGTCAATGGAGCTACTGTAGTGACAATTTTACACAGCAAATATAGTGACCTTATGTGACCAGAAGCAGGGGTGCAATACTCTCTTGAGATTCTGCTGGAGGGACTCTAAAAACATGAGGGAAGGATCTGGCAAAATGTTTGATTCCCATGATCTCACACAGAAGTTCACAACCAGTGTTGCCACCTCTTTTGGTAACTTTTATCACAAGTATCCTGAGATTTGACACTTTTTCCTAAAAGTGTCAAACAAAAGAAGTAATTTTCTAGCCCCCATGGTTGTGGGGAAAACAAAGCCTATGAGCTCAAAACCCAAAAGGCAAATAAAAGAACCCAAAATCGACTAGTTTAATAATCTCATCATTTGGGGGAGGTGTGTTTGACTCATTATTTTTTAACTTTGGGTTGGCATTAATGTGAATCTAATGTAGACAACCAGACTTCCATCGATATGGGTTATTTCCTCCTCTTCAGTCTTTGGAAGGGGAGTCTTATCTTTCAAATGAACAGCTTTATTTTGCCAGTTGGCATTTTTTCCAAGTCAGAGTAACTTCCCTGTAGACTCCACCCAGCTGTAAATGTCAGGAAAATGGATTACCCGGTCAGTTAATTTGCTGAAAAGCAGTTACACATCCTTCTTGAGTGGCAGTGTTAGAAAAGAAACAGTCACATGTCAAAAATTAATATGTATAAACATATATAGTAAACACTATAAGCTGATACTGATCCCATCTGTTGCTCACCAGTGTAATGGTACTGTAGTCACCGTTCAGTGACAATCCAGAACTCAATAAGGAGAGCAGTTAAAACAAATGTTCTTTTATGGTCTCTTGCACCTTCAATATCTTTTCCTGTCCCATCTGGAAAATAACAGGAATGAAACGTTAGCCATTGCCCAGCAGTGTTTCTTTCTTAACGTGTTCACATCAGGTTTTTTTTTAAGGCAAACCCTGTTTAAATAATCTCACATGGTTTCTTTTGAGCTGTGATGTTTTTGGATCTGTGGGAAATAGCTGGTGAGTATGTTCTTTTGATTCATGTTATGCATTTCACAGAATTCTAGAAATGTAGGGCTGGAAGAGGGACCTTGAGGGTATGTCTACACTGCAATTAAAAACCTGCAGCTGCCCTTGCAGCTGACAGGCTTGTGTGGCTCGGGCTAAGCTGTTTAATTGCGATGTACACATTCGGTCTCAGGCTGGAGCCTGGGCTCTAGGAACCTGCAAAGTGGGAGAGTCCCAGAGCTCGGGCTGCAGCCCGAGCATGAATGGCTACATTGCAGTTAAACAGCCCCTTAGCCTGAGCCCCAGAGTCAGCTGGTATGCGCCAGCTGCAGGTGTCTAACTGTAGTGTTGTAGACTTAACCTGAGAGGTCATCTATTACAGACCCCTGTGCTGAGGCAGGGCCAAGTATACCTAGACCATCAGATTATGGTTTTTATTGTCATCCATCTTTTATACTTTTAAAGAGTACAGAGTTTCAGTTAAAGCATTAAACATTCATAGTTATATTGTCAGAAACTGTTCCTGTATTAAGAATTTCTTGATAGGAAATTAAGGTCTTGTCTACATGGGGGAAATTTTCTGGCATTGCTATGACTATTCTGGTATGTGGACACACTATTCTACAATAAAAGTGATTTTATTCTGGAACAGAATCTCTGCTCCCCTACAGCTATGCTGGGAAATTTCCCTGTGAAGACAAGGCCTAAGGTTTCTTGTAAAATAGATTAAGGGTCCGTCTGCTCTACAAGTGCTGTAGCTGCCCTGCTGTAGTGTAGATGCTTACTACAGTGATGGAAGAGGTTTATCCATCGCTGTTGTAAATCCACCCTTCTGAGAGGCGGTAGCTAGGTCCACAGAATCCATCGACCTAGCAGTGTCTACACAGGGGCTTAGGCCAGCTTAACTATGTCTCTCATAAGAGTGAATTTTTCACAGCCCTGAGCAATGTAGCTAGGCCAACCTAAGGGCATGGCTACACTCGAAACTCCAAGGTGCTGTCGCGGGAGCGCTCCCATGGCAGCACTTTGAAGTGCGAGTGTGGTCGCACACCAGTGCTGGGAGAGAGAGCTCTCCCAGCACTGCAGGTACTCTACCTCCACAAGGGGATTAGCTTACAGCGCTGGGAGCGCGGTTCCCAGCGCTGGGGATCTGTTTACACTGGCACTTTACAGCGCGGTAACTTGATGCGCTCAGGGGGGTGTTTTTTCACACCCCTGAGCGAGAAAGTTGCAGCGCTGTAAAGCGCCAGTGTAGCCATAACCTAAGTTTTACATGTAGATCATGCCTAAATAACTCTATTCACTCTTCTTTGAGCCTGCTAAGCAAGTTCCTTTTAGAGTGAGACACTGATTAGCAAGGTACTTGAGCACTTGCATATGAATAGCTGAATAGCATTCCTCATGTTCTTAAATACTGTGCTGAATCCCAGAGCCTGAGTGGCAAGTTCAGTATTTACAGGGATCTTTAGCTGAACTCCATAGAATCTTACAAATACCTCCTCCTTAAGGATCAAACTTTCCTCCTGTGCAGTCACGTTAGGTCTAGTCAGATGGTTGAAGGCGGCTTTTCTAAGTGAAAGGGTTAAATTGGACTAGGACTTAGGAGTTCAATTTGTAGCACTGCTGCTGTCTTGCTGTGCGACTTCATACAATTACTTAGCCACTTGGACTGGAAAACTCTTCCACCTTTTAGCGACGTAGGGTATGTCTTCACTAGCAGTGTTAAAGGGCTGCCACTGCAGTGCTTTAACGTGGCTGTGTAGTTGCGGCACCAGCGTTGGGAGAGATCTCCCAGCTCTATTTAAAAAAAACCAAAAAAACAAAAAAACCACCTCCACAAGGGGAGTAGCTACCAGCACTGGGAGTGCATCTCCCAGCACTGGTGCACTGTCTACACTGCCACGTTACAGCGCTGAAACTTGCAGCGCTCAGGGGGTGTGTTTTTTTCACACCCCGCAAGCAAGAAAGTTGCAGCACTTTAAAGTGGCAGTGTAGACAAGGCCTTAGATTTAGGTTTTCAGGGCAGAGACAGCCTCCTGAACATTGTGCTTATGACACTTCACACCACAGACCATTGATCTTAGTTAGGGCCTCTAGAATGATGCTACTATACTACCATAAATTAGTTCCATCCATTTCTGACACATATTGCAAAGCATTGGACCTGCTTGGTAGCTACTGTCAGACACTTAAGATACGGCATTTTCTGAAAATCATGGGTTGAATATCACATATAATTTCTCAAGGAATAAGATTGGGGATATCTGGCAAAGTAAATAAGTTATTAAAAATTGCATAATAAATTATCTGTTTCTATTAAGGGGCATTTTGATCTTTTGTATATTAAAACTGTCTGACTGATGAGCATGTGGGTAATTGACTGGCTGAAGTATAGTAGTTTCTGCCTCCAATGAACTTATTGTATTGCTCAGTTTATGGCAGCTGAAAGAATATGCTGTCACTTTATCTCTTCACAGCATTCTGGCTGCACTGTAAACTGCAAATATAAATAAATTAGTCACCTAGTTGACCTGCTTTTCATGCAGTGTCTATTCAGTGGAGTGGCTGAAATTATTAACTGTAGTGTAGGTGGTGTGCATAAATATGCTTACGGGGTTCAGACATGTCTCAGCAGAGCTCTGTGCGGGAGGATGCAAACCACCCACATCTCAATGCAAGACATTGTTATTTCTGCATAAGACTCAAAAGGCAAATATAAATTTGGGCTCTTTTTTATTGTTTTAAAATCTCATGATTTGTAGGCTAATCTCACAATGTTTGGAGGCCCTACTCAGGATTCATAAGTGGTTGGTGTTGGTGTTACTGGTTTTATTAGAACGTTAGTAACCTCCCAGCAAACTCTGACACTGATACTCAGTTTTCTCCTATGTGTGAACACAATTCTTGTGAAAGGCTGTGTGCAACTTATTTAAGAACTAGCTTGTTTTGCTGCTTTCAGAGTTTGGTAATCAAAAGAACGAGCAACATTTTTGTTGATCCCTTGCCCATAAAGGTTAGTGATGGTTTTTTCCCTTTCTCTGAGACCCCTTAATAAGGAAGCATATCTTGAAAAGCCCAGACCTTCTAAAATAAGCTTTGTTAATTACGTGCCATTGTGCATCATAAACCCCAGGAAAGTTTGACTGACTGACCTGTGAATAAATATTAGAAATGAAGGTATGGAAATGGTTGGATCATTCTCCACAGCCAGACATAGCTGAACCTTTTTAACTGGAGAGACTCTAGTGTAGTGATGCAGTTCAAGGCACTTGCCAAGTAAAAGCCACGCTAAATGTTCATCAAGAAAGCGCTTTGGATCAAATGTCATGCAAATATGGTAATGATGTGTTACCTAGGTTCTAGGCCAGGGGTAGGCAACCTGTGGCACGCGAGCTGATTATCAGTGGCACTCTCACTTCCGGGGTCCTGGCCACCGGTCTGGAGGGCTCTGCATTTTTTAATTTAATTTTAAATGAAGCTTCTTAAACATTTTAAAAACCTTACTTATTTCACATACAACAATAGTTTAGTTATGTATTATAGACTTATAGAAAGAGACCTTCTAAAACTGTCAAAATGTATTACTGGCACGTGAAATCTTAATACATTTTCAGTGTGACTGGCATGAAGAGGTATGCCTAATCTCAAGGGTATGCGTCTGTGCAGGTTTCTGTATTCAAACAGCTGCATGGGATGTGCAGTTTCCTCTGAATAGGGTGACCACCTGTCCCTTTTTAAGGGACTGTCCCTTAGTGCATTGATTTTGTCCCTTCCTTTGGGGGACCACCAGCCCCTTATTTTAAGATGTATTGAAATGTATTAAAACTAGTACGTACCATTTTAAACATTATATTGAAGCTTATGGTAATTACATTGTATACCTGATGGCAGTAGAAATGTACACTTGAGAGAAAAATACATGGTGTGTTAAAGGAAATGGTTTTTCCCTAAAATTAAAGCAGTGCCCCTTATTTTTAATGTAGTTTTCTCTTATATCCATCCAACAAAGATAGTCACCCTACCTCTGAAGCTTCCAGTATTGTCACACTATGTGTTGATCACCAGGAAGGGCTCTAAGAGCAGGGTCTATGGGCACGAAGGCCCAGATTCACAAAGGTACTGAGGCACCTCACCACCAGATTTAGGTGCCTAAGTCCCAGTTTTAGACACCACTTTGACTCACAAAACTGCTCCACTGCTGCCTAATCCTGTAGGTAAGGGGTAGGCAAACTTTTTGGCATGAGGGCCACATCTGGGTATGGAAATTGTATGGCAGACCATGAATGCTCACGAAATTAACAATTCAGAAATATTCAAATAAACTGTATTTAATAAAGGTACCTTTTAGTGGAAATAAACATAAAACCTTACTTACTATTATAAATATACCATCATACCAACATATTACAATAATTAAACAAAACTTACCCCCTTTCCACACCCTCTTTGATTAATGTGGGGGAGGAGGACTCTATGGGATGCAGCATGGGGGGGGGCTCTATAAGGAATGTTACCAAGGTGGAAGGTGGAGGACTCATGGGCATGGCGCGGGGCGGGGGCGCTCTACTGGGGCGGTATCGGGGACTCCTAGGGGCCCTGTCGGCAGTGACACCAAGGCGGCCGTATCAGGCACTGCCATGGGCGGAGGCATCCTAGCTGGGATGGGTGCGGTCCCTGGGCGGTTTCGATAGTCTTGAGGGTGTGGCTGTAGGAGACCAGGAGGGTCCGGGCCGCGGTGATTGGCTGATGAGGAATGAGGCGAGTCTCTCGGAGGAGCAATGCCTCAGGGCTTGGTCCATGAAGGAGCTCGCAGTTCCTAATTGGACTCTATTAGGAGCAGTTTCCTGCGATGCTGC